AGTGGAGAAACAAACTAGAACACTGTGCTATGGTTTCTTTTTAGGAGATTCTATGTCATGCTTAACTCCTGGTTTAATTTAAATTTCTTTGCTCAGTTAAGTAAACGCACATTTTTAAAATGAAGAATGAATCCAAGTTGAGCTCAGCCAGGCCTTGAGATTCCTTCCTCAAATCAAAGAACAGTTTCTGAAAAGTTCAGTAGAATTCTGAGGTTCTCCCTCACAATATAGGAGATGCACCCCCCCGGAAGAAAACACTCCTCAGGCACCTCCCTCTGAAGAGATGCCACCCTGGGAGGGAAGCCTGCTGAGAGGCAGGCTGAGTAGTTGCAGCTGCCTGGACCCAGGAAGTAGGAAGTTACCCTACCTACCAGGAAAGGTGTGGGGCAAGTCCAACATTAGGCTGGAAGGAGGCTCAGTCTAGAGGGAACCCCTTCTCCACTGGAGAATGTCCCAGAAGCCATACCCACCCCCCTTTCTGTCACTGGAGTCACTGGAGTCACTGTAATGACCTGGTTTCCTCAGGAAGAAATCTGGACCTTGAGAGACTAATCCCATGTACACACGTTGTAAGTGCAGACACATTCTTTGCATACTTATATGTTCTGCACAGCTACCATGTACACACAAACTCTGCATACAAACACCACATACCTGCAAAGTGTGTGCCTGTGACACACACACACATACACAAAACAAACCCCTACTCCACTATGGTCACAACCAACGTCGTAGAAGGCCCTGCTATGCTTTTAGAAACCCAACTACTCCAGGCCTTAAGGGAAACCTCTTTATCCTCACTCCCCAAATCAACAGGAAAGAACCGAGACTCCAATCCCCTCTCAAGACGAGGGGAAGGGGTGTGGGGCACGGGAGAGGAAAACAAAACTTAGTATTCACCTACTTCCTTCAGTTCTGTGCTGGACTGTACTTGGCTGACTTTGGGCAAGCCAATTAACCTCCTAGACGCCCCCTTCCTCTGTAAAATGGGTCTGAGGACACCGCAGCCCACAGGACAGTAAGTACTGTGATAACTTAGAAGGCTGTGACAACACAGCCTGCGCTAGTTGAACCCTCTTCTATAAGCAATTAATTACTATTACCATTAAATTATCTCAACCTGCAGAGACCTGTCAGCACAGAGCCCGGGAGCAGAAAGCTAGGACACACTTCCGCGATTCCCCTTTCAACCTCTGGGCCCACACCCATTCCGGGGATGAAGCAGGGAGGGTCCCAGATTCTCTAGGTCAGCTAGGCAGAGACCCCAAACCAAAGAAAGGTCGCTCTCAGGGTCTCCCCACCCAGACTTAGAGCCAAAGCCCATTAGACAGGGGCAAATCGCACCGGTCTGGACGCACCTGGCCAGTTTCGGTTTGCTATTTGACTACAAGGCTCCACCATCGGGTCAGAATATTCCCCCAGCAATCCCAGGGGCGCTGCAGCCAATTTGAAAAGCCACATCCCCACCTCCACAGCTGCGATTAGGGAACCCTAGCGCTTAACCCACCGGCATCTGAGGCGCATTGCCAGGGCGCGGTGGGGCGCAATCACACCAGGTCCTAGCCTGCAGACAGCACCCAGGGAAGGGCCCAGATTGCCAGGTCCCTATCCCAGGGACTCCTCCCCCTCTCCTCGGCGGCGCCCACGCCCAGCCCGGAGAGGCTAGGCGCGGTGGGGCGTGATGCCGGGACCCCAGATTTCTTACAAGCGCAGGATTGAACTCACGCAGGCGCCTGGGCCCGGGCACACCACTCACCGATGGACACCAGCTTGATGCTCTCGTGGTCCAGAAACTCGTGCGCCACCGACACGTTCTCCAACTGCATCTGTTGGAAGGTGGGCCGCTGGTGGTACTTACCATACATGCGCTTCTGGCTGAGCACCTCCAGCAGAGCAATGAGCTACAGCCTGTAGATCAGGTCAGTCTGCAGGTTCCCGATGCTTTTGTTCGTGCACTTGAGCTGCTCGTTGCACCAGCGCGTCGGACGTGTTCTGCTAAATCGTCTTCCACGGCGCTTCCTCTGCCAAGTTCTTGGTCACGGCATCCTGACGGTGTGGAGCATGCGAGGGCAACAAGCAGCAGGGACTGTAGTCAGAAGGCCCAAGGGCGGGGGAACAATAACCTAAAAGGAGAGGGAAGGATGGATATATGAGCAGTTGCAGGTTAAGGGAAAGGCTTCATCCTGCAGGCTGTGAGTAGTACTGGAGTGCAAGGTACCCTCAGTGTATGACCTGGAGCCTGACATTTCAGGTCTGAAGAATCTATATCCTGTTCCTGCCCTGGGTGGGGTGTTCGCTCTACTCATTTCCACAAAGCAATTAGCTGCCGACTTGTCAATCCAAGGAGATTGTTTCTAGAAGTCCAAATAACCTTTCCCTCCCTTAGAAGGAAAAAGTGACAAGATCTTGCTATTAACCTGTGGCTCCCTTCTGGATCCTAAAGTATGGTCACAGATCCACCTTTAATATGCCTTTGTATGTAAGAAATCATTAGCTCACAAGCCTTCTACATCATCTCAGTGGTTTACAGTTTCCTGTAACCTCTTCTACACATTTATTCTCTTAAAAGTCAAACTGATCCCAAGTGAAATCATAATGTAGGTCCCCTCAATTTTATTGTCATTTGCCATCTTACTTTTTCATGACACCTGACACCATTTATTTATATAGCTGCTGGTGGATGTAGCCAGGCCCTCCATATACAGAATGTAATTTACTTACCCATACCTCCTGGAGGTAAAATTGGATCCTCGGGGCTGGAGAGATGGCTCAGGGGTTAAGAACACTGTCTGTTCTTTCAAAAGACCCAGGTTCAAATCCCAGTACCCACATGGCAGCTAACATCTCCAGTTCCAGGGGATCTGACAGCCTCTTCTGTCCTCCATGGGCATTGCACGACACAGGTGCACTTACATACATGCAGGCAATACACACATACACATAAAATAAAAATAATAAATATTTTTTAACAAAATAAAATTGCGTTGTCTACAGGGTCTCACCAGACTAAGAAACTCTGCAGCTGTGTAAAGAATGATATGGCCAGGCTGCTGGCACTGTGTAAGAAAGGCGGGGCATTATAAACATATATAATTACCTGTCTGTGCATAAAATACCTCTAGGATGATTCACAAGGAAATGGTTTTGTTGGGGACAGAGATGGGAGAGATATTTTCCTTTTTGCATTTCAAATCATATTTAGTTTTTTCCTTTTTTTTTTTCTTCCTTCCTCCCTCCTCCCTACCTCTCTTTCCTTCTGAAACCGGGTCTCAGGTAGCCCAGGCTGACCTTGAACTCTCCATGCAACCAAGGATAGCCTTGAACTCCTGATCTTTCTGCTCCCATCTCCAAAGTGTTAGGATTAAACACATAGCTTAGGATTTTTGAAAGGTAATTAAAAATAGAAACTGGAGAGATATCTTAATTGCTTATAACTCTAGTTCCTGGGGTGATTGGATGCCCTCCTTTGTGGGCGGGTACCCCTCCCACACAAACATTAAAAATAAATCTTTAAAAATGTTTTTAAAATATGGATTTCAGGACGGGGGTGTAATTTGGTGGCAGGGCCACTTATATTGCAAGCACAGAGCCCTGGTTCTGTCCCCTGCACTGTTGCTTTTGGGTGGAGAAACCCAATAGGTATATCCCTAACTGTGTGGTTAAGGTAAACCCCACCATTCATTGGTGGTGGGCTTGTCACAGGTCTTTCCCCTCCATAGGATATGATGGGAAGGGAACATTACCTCTATGGTGTTCTTTTTAAAAACTTAGTCCGTACTGTAGTGGCACCAGTATACTTATAGTCTCGGCACTTAGGAGGCAGAACCAGGAGGCTCTAACCCTAACCCTAACCCTAACCCTAACCCTAAATGAATCCCTAACAATAACTCTAACCCTAACCCTGACATCCTACCCCTATCCTAAACTCTAGCCCTAAAGGTAACCCTGCCTTAACCCTATCCATAACCTGAATCTTAACCCTAACCTTAACCCTAACCCTAACCCTATCCATAACCTGAATCGTAACTCTAACCTTAACCCTAACGCTAAGACTATCCCTAAACCTAACTCTAACTCTAACCCTAAACATATCCAGAACCCTATCCCTTAACCCTAAACCTAACTTTAATCCTAATCCAATCCCTATACATAATCCTAAACCCCTAACCCTAACCGCAACCCTCTAACACTAACACTCTAACCCTAACCCTTACCCTAAACCAAACGTATTGTAACCCTAACCCTAAACTATCCCTAAACCTGACCCTTAATCTAATCTTATCCATAATCCTAACACTAACCCTAACAACCGTAACCTTAATCCTAACAAGTGTAACCCTACCCTTAAACCTAACCCTAACCCTAACAACCCTAACAACCCTAACAGTCCTAAGAACCGTAACAACCATAACTCTAAGCCTAACCCTAACCCCAAACCCTAACCCCAAACCCTAACCCTAACCCTAACCCAACCCGAATGCCTAACCCTAACCCTAAACATAACCCTAAACCTAACCCTACCCTAACCCTACCATAAACCTAGCCTAACGCTATGCTAACCCAACCCTAACCCTAACCCTAACAACCCTAATCCTATCCACCGTAACCCTAACCCTAACGCTAACCCTAAACCTAACCCTAAACCCTAACCCCTAACCCTGACCCTGACCCTGACCCTGATATAGACCCAGACCCTGACCCTAACCCTAAGCCTAACCCTAACCCTAACAACCCTAACACTGACCCTGACCCTAAGCCTAACCCTAAGCCTAACCCTAAAACCCTAACCCTAACCTAACACTAACGCTAAACTTAACCCTAACCCTAAAACCCTAATACTAACCCTAACCCTAAAACTACCTTAACCCTATCCGTAACCTGAATCTTAACCCTAAACATAACTCTAACCCTAACCCTATCTGTAACATCAATTTTAACTCTAACCTTAAACCTAACGCTAACACTATCACTAAACTAACTGTAACTCTAACCCTAACCCTTACCCTAACCCAAACGTATCTTAACCCTAACCCTAACCCTAACCCTAACAGCCCCAACCCCTAACGCTAACCCTAACCCTAACCCAACCCTAACCCTATCCCTAACCCTAACCCTAACACTAAATCCTAACTATGACCCTGACCCTAATACTAACCCTAACCCTAACCTTAACCCTAACCCCTAATCCCCTAACTCCTAAAACTAACCCTAAAACCATAACCATAACCCTAACCTTAACCCTAAACCTAAAACAACACTAACAATCCTAACAACCCTAACAACCCTAACCCTAACCCTAACCTCTAACCCTAACCCTAATCCTAACCCTAAGAACCCTAACACTAACAAACCTAACCCTAACACTAACCCTACCCTAACCCTAAAATCCTAACCCTAACCTCTAACCCTAACCCTAACAAACTTAACCCTAACCCTAACCCTAACCCTAACAACCCTAGCCCTAACCCTAACCCTAACAACTCTAACCCTAACAACCCTAACCCTAACAACCCTAACCCTAACCCTAACCCTAATGCTAAGCCAACCCTAATCCTAACTCATCTTAACCCTAACCCTAACTCCTAACCCCTAACCCTAACCCTAACCATAACCCTAACCCCAAACCCTAACCCCAACCACTAACCCTGACCCTAACACTAACCCCTAACCCTAATCTAACCCTAACCCCTAACCCTAACCCTCACCCCTAACCCCTAAACCTAACCCGAACCCTAACTGACCCCTAACCCTAAAACTCCAAAGTTCTAAAACCCTAAACCCTAAAACCCATCCCTGACCCTGACTCTAATCCCTAACCATAACCCTGACCCTGACTCTGACCCTAACCCCAACCCTAACCCTAACCCTACCTCTAAGTGTCCTTCAAGTGTCGAGTGGATAATGAACATATGGTTCATTTGTACAGTGTAGTTCTACTCAGCAGTAAAGAAATATAAAATCATGGAATTTGCATGTAAATGGATGCAAGTAGGAACTGTTATACTAAGTGAAGTAACACAGACTCCAAAAAACAAACAATGTATGTTCCCCCTCATTCTGGATTCTTGTACCAAATCCTTATAAGTGAGTATATATCCAGACATAACTACAGCAACCAGGATAATGAAAAGGAACCAGGGAGGCAAAGGAAAAGAAAAAATCTGAAAGAGAAGAACAGTAGGAATCAGTGTTAATAAGGGAGATACTATAAAAATGGGATTATTTTAATGGGAGGGGGGAGGGAGGGTTATACAAGGAACCTTGGAGATAAAGGGAAAGAAGGAGGTCCAGAGTGGTGGGACCATAGGAGAAGGGTATTAAGAGAGAAATGGGAAAAATGGAGACACTTTAAATAGGGTAACCATGGTGAAAGGGTCACACAATGAAAGAAAGAAATAATGCCTAGGTAGTTTTTTTTTTTTTAAGTAACAGAGGGAACCATATTATTCCAACAACCTACTGACAAATTATACATGCACCTAGCTCAAGGAACACAATGTATATCTACTCAAGGTTTATCTGAGAATGTTTGGTTTTTGCCCAAGCTTTAGCTACATAGTGCATGACAATTAAAAGTACCAGACTGGTGGAACTAACCATCTTGGATGTTTAACAGCCATACTTTGAGGCCTATACAAATCTGGTCAGAGGGACTTAAAGGACATTTTTTGCTCCTTGCCCTCCAAGGTCAACTAAGTTTCAGGGGACTATGGAGCATCTCTCAAAATGTTCTGTAACTGTGATTGAGTCACCTGTCCTCTTGATCAAGGAGGCCATGGAGGCTCCACCAGATGGACTTGAACCAGTGTCTAGTCTACAAAGGGGAGGGTTAACACAGAGGAAGCATTTCCTCCATGCTTCCAAGTGAAGCCAGCCATGGTCGAGCAGGACCTTTGACTTATCTTGACATAGACAGAAGTGGTAAAATAAAGGAGCCAGGGGCTCCTCCCAAGCCCATGTGACCCCCAAGGAACAGTTCCTCAAATGACCTTAAGAGTAAAAATAAGTTGGTTTTTCTGGGCCAACTGTATGGTCTTAAACACCCAAAAGGAAAGTATAACCAAAGATTAAAGTGATCAGTCTAATTCTTTGAGTCCATGTGTATAGCTAAAGCCTACATAAC